GAGCTGGCAAGGAATGAAACAGCTACGATTAAGCAAAGGAAAGTTAAGGGGTTAAATGACCGAAACGTGGTTGGTTATCGATCATCCATCGTTCGAAATGTTCAAATGCACGTGCAGTGAAATTAGTCGGTGATTGATACTTGTTATCAAAGTATAGTCACGTTATGGCAAAGAGGCGCATGTTATTACACAATATTATACTCTTCCTAGTTGAAATATGTAATTTTAATTAAATTCAAATTAAATTAAACTTTAAATTTTTAAACTTTTGTATAACTTTTACTTTAAAGCACATTTTTCGAATGTGCATGTGAATTTAAATTTGAAGATAAAACGCATAATTAACGAACGTAGCCCGTGAAATGATTTTAAAAACGTTTCGAGAAAGCGGGAAAAATATAGCTTAATTATAGATCGTAAAGTTTTAACGCTGTTACGCGAGGTATATAAATTACTCTGTATCGAACAGCAAACAGAATTTCAATGAGCAGCTTGGATATAATAATTTCATCAAACGGATCGATTTTGCGTTTATTTTAAGTCTCTTTTATCTGTTTTCGGACCTATATGATAGAACGTAATAAAAGCTACCTGAAATTTTACCAAACTTAAATCAGTTTATAGCGGTATTTGAATGCGAAAATGTTTTTAAAGCCCTACGCGAGTTTTCATCGGTAAATATTTTTCATAGCCAAGATTTCTCATCAATGGAATAAAAGCGATATTCGGGCCAATATGTGACGTATTCAAAATTGTTTTCAAAAAAAATAATAGTAAATTGCTCCGTTATAACTTTACGTTAACAATGTTCGACTTTAAACATTGCCCATGATATGTCCAACCTCAAACATCATAGAATCTTCAAAAATTTAATATACATACATATTTTATCGTGTACTGTTTTCAAAATATCTTAATGCATGTACGATAATTTTTCTATTAAAAATTGAATCTTTGTACGAATATAAAATTTCAATCGTTTTCATGAAATGGCAATATAAAGAATAAATGAAAATGGCAAGATAGGAGTTTTGGCCGTAAAAGGCACTCGGTAAGGGTTATTAGCATATAAATAGGTATTAGAAATCTGTATGGTTAAATATGATAGAGAGAGCATAGATGTGTGCTCCTCGTATTATGTGCATTTTGACGAAGGTTAGTGCTGCCTTCGGGGCACAATCTCACCTCATCGAGTGGTTAAAATTAATAGAGATCACCGTAGTTATCATTCACAGACGGTTCTATGTTCGTTGGCCTGCTTCAGAGATGACAAAATGGAACAAAGTATAAAGACGAGAGTTCTATCGCATATTATAAAATACACATATTTCACTGCCGAGTGTTTTAAACATTCTACGCAAAAATAATATTCCCATACCATTTGTGATCTCATTAGAAGGTATAATTATAAAGAACAGGAGAGAGAGAGAGAGAGAGAGAGAGAAATTACGCTTTAACAAATATAAAGTTTATATTTCAAGATTGCAGAAAAATTTCGTAAAAGGCGAAAAATTTTCTGAAATTTAGTATTCAAGAAACGAAGGAATTGTTCCAAAGTAAGTCATGTACAAAATATTTCAATGTAACATATTCAGGTTTCAATATACAAATACAGTAACATCAAAAAGTTTTAACCTATCGTTAAAACTAGCCACGAAGAAAGGCATTCTTTAACTCTTATTCTAGCTTCGAAGAAGCAAATAGCGAAATTATCCATCATACTAATAAAAATAAAAAAAGAAGGAACAATTCTGCAATACTGAGAACAAAGCTTACAGAATCCACTGTATCTATTAGTATATGTATCTCTATAAATGTGTTACACATTAGATTTGAAGCAATCCTAGAGAAGCGTGGTATTCGAAAGAATGGCATATTAAAGGTAAATGCATGGCAGGATACGAGTAGACGGCCCAGATTGCATCTGACAGACTGTCGTAGAATTGGCTGCGCATTTCCTTTTTCCTAGGGAGGAAGGTCGCATTTCCTTTTCACAGAGAGAGGGTGGGAGAAGGGGAGGAAAAAATACGAGCACCCTCGTGCCTCCAAGAAGTTCTTTTCCACGAGGATGGTCCTCTCGACCAGTCGCCTCGACAAGCAATCTCACGAAATTGAACCGCGCGATTTCACGTCGTTTCGCAGACGTTACCGTTCGCGTTCCCCTTCCGGTTCCACTGCTTTTCATTTGCACCAGGACTACGGAAACAGTTCGAACGAAGCAACGATCGAGAAACGTCAGGCAAAGTTCGCAAATTTTAATAGCTGAGAAACGAACGTCGTATTCGATTAATTCCTGCATTGACAAATGATTTAAAACGAGCCGGATGATATACGATCAATGATCGATTATATCACGTGAGATTAAAGTTTCGGCAGCGAGGTGTTACGGTGATATCAATCACTATGTTAATTAAAGGGCGATGAACTTGTCGGATTTCTGAAATTGAGGAGATCATTCGTAATTTCATTTTATTTAAAGCTTTTATGGCGTGTTAACGATAACCCAGGATAAAATTGCTGATTTCTTTTTGGACAATAACCATATTCCTGTAGTGATTTTTAATACAAGCTTGATTTGAGCTTAATATATCCTCCTTTTTCAATTCTTCATTATCAAACTACGCATTGTACCGAAATATATCGTTCTGTTAATGTCTCATCGCTTGGAGAAGAAAAATGATTTATGTAGGAAACAACATTTGTATTTTTATCAAGAAGTTGGAAATACTTGATATAACGAAAACGTACGTGTCTGTATAATTTAGCGAAGCTATTGATAAATATCCCAGAATTCTTTTTACATTTTTTTGGCACTAACAGTAAAAAGGTAGATTTGAACTAATGGGTTAATAGCTATTTCTAGATACCTATTGCTAGATTTGTACAATTCCTATATAAAACTTTCTTATTACGATTTTGGCACTGATTTTTATTTTGTGTATATTCAAACTGTCACCGCCCGCGTTTAATCTTAAAACATACGCAGAGAATATTTTACTAGATAGAAGATATTCGAAAGCAATTTGGCAGCCGTTTAAGTTAAACGCAAGGGAAATATTGCAGCGTGGTAAATGATTCCATTGGAAGGTTGAGTGTGTTGGTCTTGAAAGTTCCATCGATTTTTGCTTGGCGCGCCAAATATGTGCCATCCTAGCAATTTTGTCATCGAATTGGAATTTATGCTTCTTGGACGCAAAACGAAGCAATCTAGTTGCAGCGTCGTTCTTGCCGTTATAGAACACCAATTTTTTCTGAGTTTCGTTCGCGGTACAGAGTGGCAATACGTATATACATATAAATCATACATATAAAGAATGCAATACGTGCTCGAAATATTCAATCCTTCGAATTATCGATTCTTCAAAGTAATAATTTACGATGATACGTTCGTCAAATAGTTATTGGAATTCAGGTTATACAAGGATGATCGATACTGTTTCGCCTCACAATATCATATGATAAAGCTTTTGACGGTTATGGCAAGCCAAAAAACAAAAGATTTAAAAAATGGGACAGGTGAAAAATGGAAAACAAAAAATACTTACTATACTCCACTATATCAAACGTGTTACATCAGAGATTGTAACCGAATGAAAAGCAAGATTATTCTGTTCGAAACAGAATGAAATGAAACTACTTAATAATTTCCCTTCAGAGAAAAATCTATTTATGGTTTAAAAAATAACTTCCTTGCTCGAGGAAGGGAAAAGTTCATGTAAAATTCTCCCTATAATTAACGATCCCTTGTTCGAAGAACATATTTCCTCTCGCTGTTTCACGACCTGGATCATCGATCAAGCACAAAATTAATAACTTATATTAACGTCTCGCGTGTACACGAAGGCGTTTGTAACGAATAGCTATCGGTTGTTTCCGTCTCGCTTATTTTCCCGGTGATTTTTCTACCCACAGACATTGATATCCAACCTCTGCCTCTTTGTTCCACTCTGTCTCCATCTGTCTGGTGAAATAAGTAGGCCCAGTGGGGATTAAAACCGAGTTCTCGTGTCATCGGGTTAGAGTACGTCATTTAGTGGCTTTGTTCGTTCGTACGCGTCTTCTTGCCAGTTGTCTCTAACACGAGCCTCAATTCTACGTAATTTTACGTCTACGAACGATCGTATAACATTCACGAAACAGGTATACCACGTCGATCATTAAAAGGTGAAACTAGACGTTTCCACGCAGATCGTTTTTTCCAACTTAACGAACGTTACAAATAATAAACATTAATTTTCGTTAAATTTGTTACGATGTTTTGTTGTTTGGACAGCTGATGGATATAGAACTTCCATTTATGTTACGATATTGGCATATATGACACGGAGAGAGATTTGTATTCATTTCTACAATCCTGCTGTGACGTTTAACAGTTTCGTTTAAACAATCGAAACAAAAATCATTTATATACACGCTGTGAGGTACGTCCAAAAGCAGGGCAACTCCATAAAGAGACAAACTATGGCAAAGTAATACGTACAACCCGGATTTCGATTCACGACGCGCGATTCTACGCTCGTAAGTTAGAAACGAACATCACGACGATGCCGTCGTTTCCCTTCCGACACTCTTTCGCATGGTTGGGTTGAAGCGCCCGAGGATCGCCGAAAACTAAAGTCGTAAAATTATACGTGTCCCGTTCCCTCCTGGCCGATTTCGTGGTTCGCTGCTCCGTGAAGATATACACGCGTATAGTTTGAACAGAAGGGGGAGATAGAGAAAAGGGGTTGATTCGTCTATTTCAAGTTCTCTCGAGGATGCCGAAGAAGCAGAAGGAGGCCCATGGAAGAAGGGACTGGTAAAGTTGTTTGGCCAAAAGTACGGTGAACCCGGTTTGTAGGCATCGATCGGACATCTAACGAGCTCCGGCTAACTAGTTTGTACCGAGATCGTTGCCACGAACAGTCCTATTTGAATCTGACTTTCACGTGGTAAAATACAATACGATCAAAGGTGATAGACACGTTATTTGTGTGCAATGAAAAAACTTAAAAACTTACCCGCGCCTTCGGCGTCTGCTTTAGTCCGATGGCTGGTTGGCTTCTGTTGCTCTGCAACAATAATTGAGGACGCCATGGTCAGTCGAAAGCAATTAATACGTTCCGCAACATTAATTATGCCGAACTGGCCTGTAAATTCTATTAATATTCGACGCGTTTATCACGGTGCCTTAATTATTTTGGCCGTGCAGTGGTCTCGGGTAGTATGATTTTTTAACTAGGTTGCTTGGAAAATTGCAAAACCAATGGGATCTACCTTGAATATAATAGAATAGGATAGAGCGCGGTACTATGGTGGTTGCCTTTAAGGGAAGTGTATAAAGCAGGAATGTATTTGCAGAAGAATTTGCAGAGCAGGAATATCTGGCTGAAATCTTCAATTTTTCCCTTGAAGGAAATGATTTTTCAGTTCGTTGAGCCTCGATTGATATTACTGGATCACAGGTGACTACGATAGTTTATTTGTTTGTACTTTGAATCTGAATTCTGGATTTTATAAAAGAAAAAATAAAATCAAATATTCTGAAATTCAATAACCTTAATCCAAAGCGTTGTTAATAATCCACCGATGTTGTTGGTAATCCAACGATATTACTTGAAAATTAGTCATAACTTCTACTACGAAGATCTTTATATAACAATAATTTTTTATACATAGTGATATATAAATGTTTTTCGCGTTGTTGTGAGTATTGTTATAGAAAAAAAGAATTCTGATAGCGACGAAAATGTGCAAAATATCTTTGTTGGTAAGAGACTTATTAACCTATTATTCCAGATGAACAATATGCAATGAGCAAAAGTTCTCTTCTTGTATCTGACGATCAAAATATTTAATTCAATTTACCAGATTTAATATAATCTATCTACTATCGCCAAAAAGTGGTTGTAATTGAAATCAGAGTATAGCAGTAACATTCACAGAGTTATAGTAATATTTTCCAGTAATGCTTCTTTCTATAAATTCTACCAGATTTACATTTCCAATGCATACAAATGTCCCTCGCTTTCACAGTGAAAACTGTAAACGAAGCATTCATTTTCTCCGCGATAGATAGAAAACAGAACGTCCAACATTTTTTTAGAGCGATGTAAAACGGAGGGGCAAAAATGTTCTTCTCTTTTTTTTTTTTTTTACTAAAAACGACTCCTGTTTCGCAAATATCGTACGCAAATATTTTTGGATTTCGTGCAAACGCTTTTCAGGACCTACCATTCTTCATCAAGTTTTGTTTTGAAGCAAAACTATGAATCCCAGCGTTTTCTTCCAGATTGCAGGCAAACAAGCATTAACCAATCGTGACTTGCATATAGATAAGAGCGCAACTATAATTAAATGTAATGTACTTATACATCTGAAATAAATACAAAACGTCTACCTGAAATATGAAACATCTCGAACGAAGAAGTACTTTTTTATAATACTCGATAAATTAACAAATTATATCAATTGTAACAGTTAAATTAATTGTTATAAAATAACATTCATTTTTCTAATTGCGCCTATAAAGATACGAATTTTCATAAATATTTTCAATTTAATTATAATTCAGGAAATGATCGTGCAAGAGGGATACTCTAATTGAACGTGCAAATAGCACGAATTGGACTAAAATAAAATTAACTCGACTACGGTAGCATTTAGGTTGCCTCGTCATCAGATGGAAACTGCATGAATTCACTCGTCCGAGTTTTCGACCGAGTGGTTGTTGGTTAACGCCGCGCGGCCTTCGTTCCTCTTCGATTGGCCAATTAAGATTTACGCATTTCCAGCAATGACGGGCCGACACGACGATGCTGTACGGTTCGACAGTTTCCCTGAATTTATCGTTTTATCGTTTGTTCCTATACTAGACAGATTGCGCATAGAGCGACAGGCCACCCTTCTCGGTCGGATTTATTCGCTGCTGGGGAAACAACATTCTGAACGCCATAAAGGAACGCGATAACGGCATTCCCCTCTATGGACATACGCGGAATGCTCTTTACTCTTTAAATATTTATAATGGGAATCAATTGAATGTGCTTTTTGGTCGATGTTCAAAGACATCTGTAGAAAAGTACATATTACCGACTTTTGATCTTCCAAAGGAATTATGTAGGATGACTAAGATGATTTTGTAGGAAAAAGAATGTCACAGTTGATTTGCTCCGTCATAACCTTTAGTTGGAAATCTTCAACTTTGAGCATTATACAACATTTTCATTCTTAAACATTCTAGTATTTTTGGAAACGTACACAGCTACTACGCAGTATGTCTATGTTATCCAAATTCATTCAAATATAGTCATGTTTTGCATCATTTTTATGGGAAAATTCCGAGAAAAATGTGTTTCTTTCGTTAATGAGTAAATAACGAGTTAGTTGGTAGTTTGTAAAACATAGAACTTTATATGCTATGTTATCAAACTTGCTCTGGTTCTAGAGAATTTACAAGGACTAACAATTTGTAATTTGTGACTCGTAAAATTTCGTTAATGAACACTAATCCAATCGTATAATAGAGCCCCGTTAATTAAAATACTTTTTGAATGTGTCTCGAAATGTACTTCACTTCGGTACTTCACCGTTTTCTTACACGAACCCAGTGACGACCTTAATTAACAGCGTGATTTATTATTCGCTGTGTTTCAAAAGCATCCTACAAACTTACTTCAACATTCTGATTAACATCGCGAGTAAAAGTCTTTTCTATAGTGCGATTATAAACGCGAATGATAAATTAATATTGTGCGTGAATTCGATCTCAGTTTCGTGATGTTGTGACTAGAAACAAGGTACCGAAGTTTCTGGTATGATAATGTTGTACTTAAAATTGTATTTTGAGTATAATTAACGTGTTTTGAGCCCATTGTTGGAGTTTCGAAACGAGTAACGAGTTCATTTGTTATTAGTTTGATACAAAAATTACTATAAATTTATCGGAATTCAATGAGACTTTTATGTATTGATGCGAAATCTGAAGATAAAAATTCATAGAATGCACACAAGACGCAAAATACCTGAAATAGAGTAATTCTTATAATATTGAGGAGATGAAACGAATCTCTCCTTAAATATTAAGGTTTACCAGTAATTTTTGCTTTAGTTACGTTTGCTAAACACAGATATTTACGAATCTATGGAACAGAAATTTATTTCATTCGCCAAGTTCGTCATTTTTATATCTTCGAATTTTTCGTAAATAGATAAATTCCGCAACCTGATATTTGGATTTCGATTAATTGCCATTCTAACATCGTACGAAATATTAAGTCTAAGAAGGCAAAAGTAACAAGATGAGGATTGCCAGCCAGTTTATCATATCTCGAGAGAATTCAAAATCAACAACGGATACTATACGGATGAACAACGAACGTGGTGCTAATTACGCGGTTTATCTCGATTAATTCCGGATAATTGCGTCCACTAATTAGTCCAATTACCCCGATGGTTCGGCATAGCACGAATAACACTTGTCCTTCACGACACATCCTCATTGGTCGAAATGTCGCAAACTCAACCGCAGCAACTGTTATCTTCCTAGGTTGGATCCGTGCATTTCCAGTTGCCCATTTGCAGAATTACTTTACGGATATCACGATACTACTTCAAAACAACTATGCTTCCCACGAACATATGTACACCTATTCCAATATGTCAGTTTGTAACTAATTTTCATTTAATTTGCCCTTTGCTAAAATTATTTCGTTTAACAGTTTCGTTACTGTACGAAATTTGATTAAATATTATTAGGTAAATATAAATAGCACGATTTATTTCCAAACTTATACTTGCGTATGTTTAGAAAATTATTTACACATTCTAGCCAAATTTCTAAATGGAAATAATACATATTTCTCCATTAAAGCTATATATAATTTTAACATCAAAGCTACGAAACTTGTTAGAATGAAAGGTTAGTTAGATTTTTCAATTTCGTCTTTAGAAAGATCAATTTTGAGATAATAATATTGTTAAAATAGGATTATATAACATAGTAGTATATTACAGATCGGCAGTTTTAATATTGAAATATTATACATCGTTTAATAAATCCGTTTAGATAAATTATTTGAATATTTTCAAATCAGCTACGACTAGTGGATCGTTTGTTTGATTTCTCAATTCACGGACGTCATAGACTTTACAACGAGAGTGACAACAAATGTCAACCGTTTACAGCAGTTTTTGCATGTTTATTACGTTCGTCGCCTCCCCAAGAATTCCTTACGCAGTAGCTCATTCAATGTCGTGACGCCCGATGCTGTGGTTCTCGTCTACGCGACTCGTAAGTTTTCACATTATAATATAATATTATCTTAATAATTTATCAACGCTGCACTTTTAACGATATTAGTTACATTATTTCTTAAATTAATTAGGATTGAATGGAAATTCAAGAATGTATTTAAGACGCTTCGATTATTATTTCCAAATTATTTGTTTAACGTTATGCAAATTACATATTATTTGAAATACTTATGTCTCGCGTTGTCACACTGCGATGTAATTATTTTGCACGAAACGTTACTTAGTCCGCTTCATCGTTAAAAAGTATTAAGTGATAATGAGAAACCGAAATAAATGCTTCATTCGTTTGGTCACTTTCACTAAAGGATCAAACTTTTTCGATTAGAACTTGCTTCCGAGTAACAAATTTTCACAAATTTACGTTATTTCACCGTGAAAAATCATAAAACGAACTAAATTACTTTCTTTCGATGGTCAAAGAGTGTTATACCTGCTTGTATTTTTCATCAAATAGATCGTTTCGTAAATTATTTTGTAGTTACGACTGTTGGAATTATCGTAAATTATTCTACGTTATTTGTTGTCAAAAAACTTGCACAAAAAATGTCCACAATTTTTTTCTCAATAGAGGTCGATGATTCTGTGTCGTTTTATTGAAAATTCTCGTTTAATTTTTCATTCCAACATTATGCTTCGTTCATGCATCGAATATCAACGCATATGAAATCGTATTTCGTTCGAAATGGAATCGTAGTTTTGATTTTGCTTTGAAATCCATATAGAATAGATTAATCCTCGAGATAAATAATCGTATTTCGTGTCACAATATCACCTAAACAAGTTTTTTGAAGCTATGCTTCTCACGAATCCAGTTCGTTAAGCTACGATCGAAACAATGTTTCGTTCACGTGTTGAATGTTGAATATGGTCAAATGATTGCAACAGTGTTTGTAAACGCGAATTATGGTTACTGCGACACTTGAAAACTACGCAAAATACGGTGAAGTGGAATTCTACGTGCTATATTTGTACTTATTTGACGTATCACTTATTACTGAAGAGTCAAATATTACAGAACATTAATTAACCAAAATTACAAATTATTCACAAACATATTTAACATTTAATTAGAGACATACAAGTACGTACAAATGGTCTATTTCAAAGTTCACCATCGATAAAATAATTAAATTTCATATCGTTATTCAGAAACAAAATCATTTAAGAGAAAAATAGAAAAATTAAATCCTTACTTTAAATCAACATTAATAAAAGCCTACGCGATTATCAAAAACACCGTCTGTTATCAAATGATGAATATAGAAATTTCATTCTCCTATGAAATAGAAACATCAAATAGAAACGGAAAATACATCTTCCAGACTACTGTTAAATTATTCGTACGTTTACTTACGTTTTAATTAGGAATTAGTCGATGGTTCAATTTGGTGGAATTTATACTGCCTGAAGAAAGGGATAGAATAAGTCAGAAAAGTTGAGAAATCGAGTTATCTTATACCCCGGTTCTTTACATTGAGCGGCACACTTGGGACACTAATTTCTCGAGATAGCTTGCAATTTGTTTGTGTTACCCTCGTTTCCGGAAGTTCATTTATAAACGAAATCGAGGGTTTCGGCTGCGTCGAATCATTCTTGTTAATCCAACTCGCGGATGTTTATTCAAAATTGCGTCACGAGGTTGAAAACCGAAATCGATTTCAATTTTCACGTAGAATTCGTCGAATGGAGGTACGGTCGCTCGCGTAGTCCTTTCAACGAGCAATTTATCGAAAGTTCATTGCTTCGACTCCCTATTAAATGACGGGATGATTGCGTCGTTCGTCTCGAAACGGCGGCAACGACTCGTCTACGAGTAATCTCGCGGACATTTGCGGAATTCAAGCGCGGTAACGTCGCAAAAAATTCCTTGCCGAATAAAAAACGCGTGTAATCATCAGGCATGACTGCAGCGACAGACACAAACGAGCCGGAAATTTAATCAAACTTTGCTGTTTCTTGCTCGGACGATCGCCAAAATTTGGCAGCGAGGCAGATCAGTTGCCTCTGTATTCCTTATTCCTATGAGTTTTCTATCGAATTGTCTCGCTGCTTGGCCGATGGATAATAATCTCGAAGTAGCTCGACCCAGTTTCGATAATTGTTCACCGGTCCGGTTCCTTCGAGTTGCCCGATTCTTCGTTTGTTTTGTCACTCCTCGTCTTTTCTCGCTGTTGCCATTTTTCTTGTCCCTTCCTCTAGCCGTTTTTATCGGTGGTTTAATCGTCGAAATACGGGTCGCATCCTAAATGCCTTTTGTACCGGCGAAAGAACAAATAATTAACTCGGCCGGTTCGACGGAAGAAATGCAAACTTCGCGAGAATTCGATGCGAGAATTCTGTCTGCGAGTTTGTTTTTTTTTTACGGAAGGACAATTTCAGCGACTGTCGTTAAGGTACAAGAGTTTAGAGGCGTTTCATAGAGAAATTTATTTTAATTTTTGAGAAGAAAGTTATCAAGATGCAAGTAAAAATGATCTTTGTCGTATATCTTTGTAGATGATTAACGTCGAGATAATTTTGATCTTTCTTTTTCTTTCTGTTTTTTAAGATCAGTTTTTCTGCTCGTTCAACAGAACATTTTCTACAGTACATATATGTGTGGAAAACGAAAATTTACATACTCGGTATGTAAAGCCCCTTTCTCAAATATTTTCTTTTCTGCAATATCGATGGGCGTGGTTTCATACGTTTGTATTAAAAGAATCATGAATATTATTTCAAAGGGATAAAGAATTCTTCTCTCCTACAAGTCCTCTTAGATTATGTGAATGAGTCTCCGAGAATATTGAAAAAATTCTACCTCTTTTCATGTTCCGGATAGTAGAGTTTAAGCGATAAACGATATGTGGGAAAAATATGAATTTACTTTTTAGTGGAAAATTATAAATTATATCGAATACTGTGATAAATCTTGAAAATGCCAGAACAATTTTGTGTTTAAAGCTATCAAATCAATTATAATTTCCAACATAGAAAATCTTCACTTCATACACACCATTTATTACTTTGATTCCTCAATTTCTAATATATAATCCAATAAAATTTCAGTCACATAAAATAATGTTTTAAATCGGACAGGTTGTCTTTAATATAATAGAATATAAGAAAACAAGTTCCTTTCGCGATCGCGTAAAAGTGTTTTGTCAACTATTCAGTTAAGAACTATCAGCCACTATTGGTTGGCAACGTAGGTAATTCGAGCTGGAAGCAAACCGAGTAGAATTGAAAACAAATCAATTTATTCGAATGAAATGTGGCACGGGGGTAGATGATGGCGTGAGTAAGTGAAAAATCCGTTGTTAGGTCACGTACGAAGGAAATGAGAATCCCACTTCTCGGAGGAAGCACTCAGCCACCACCTACGATGCTCTATTCGAATAATTATACAATCGCCACGAATCCTTTTTGCAATCGCCAGTCGAAGTTAGACTGATATTCAATTCCAGGCGAAATCAAGTTGAAACTGTTCGAACCGAATGTTATTGTTAGAGTGATAGTCGCTCGAAGAAAATTGCGGTCACGTTCGGGTTTTTCCGAACCTCATTAGCGGTGTGAACGTTTTCACTTTGCTCCAATCTAGAATCTCTACCACCGAACGCTATCGAGATAATAGAAGAAGAAAAAAAAAGGAAGATCGTGAAGATAATAGCAACAAATTGGAAGGAAATCGACTACGCTTAATTTTTTACGAAGAGTGAAATAAAAATAATATTTGGATAGATATTGGAAACGTTCGAAGTATTTTTATACTAATATTTATTTTCTAGTACATTTTTTGTGAAACAGTAAAAGCCCATCTGTAACAGAAAATATTTCATTCGTAAAATCTTTTGAAATGATCCGTCAATTTTTGTGAGTAACTTATACCGTGGTTTGTTTCAATATTTGAAATAGTAGAATCGTTATTTACGATTCTTGAAATTTTCCATTTGTGGGTTGGGTATTCTATATGAAATTACGAATATATTATTAAATATTTAATAAAAGTGGCATATCGAAGTTCTTAATCCGTGTCGAGGCAAAGTAGAGTCAAAGTTGTACAGTAGTAATAGCCCTGAATTTTCTTAAACAGATAAAAAAAGTATTTTATAATAATTGTTTATATAAATATATAATAATTTATAATAATTGTTTTACAATAATTGTGTTGAATAAATGATTGTCCTTCCTAACTATTATGAGAGGGATTTTTATTACAGTAGATCTGCTGTTTAAGGACGTTCTTTACAAATGAAATTTTGTAATATCAAGATATCTTGTACAAGACACAGAATGTGAAATAATTTAAAACACTCGTATCGTGCGAAAGAAACAGAGAAACGAATAATATTCGCGTTGTTCTCCTTCCTATTTTAATTTCATCTCATTAAAAGCCAGCTGTCTTTTTTAAAACGTACAAAATTGTGAGGGATAATTCATGAAAAACTTACATTGTCAAGAAATGTAGTTCCTGAATGTTGAAGAGGGGTCGTTTTACAGTAAATTCTTCGTTCCGAAAGAAATTATTACAAACGAGATGTTTTTACAAATTACAAATATATTATTTTTTTAAACTGTTATATTAAGATTCGTCATTTTTAATACGATTAGTTAAAAATGTAAAGGAATACACGGTACCGTAAGGTTAATGAAATTTCATTCTTATTTACCGATTTATCGATAATATTACGGGAATGGTTTTCTATTTTAATAATATTTCACGGTAAGAGAAGGCGCTAGGTTTTATTCATGCCAAATGAATTCATTTTGCTGAAATGGAATCATTTTATTTCCTCTTGTGATCGATACTGTTGAAATTCAGCGAATATTAATTAGTCAGTTGGGATACTTCAATTGCGAACGAAGAACTCTACGCAGATTCCCATTAAAATTCGAGTAAAAACCGACAATACATTGTCTAAAATATAGACAGACGAAACGATTGTTACTTAATTAATTTCGTATTGATTACAGACAAATCTGTTTCTTGCTAGTCCC